ACAGAAAATAGCAAAAACCCCATGTAAGGTATTAACACGTTAACCTATGGAGCACAGTAACTCCATCATGTGCTCATATGTAAGCTGTGCTTTTTGCACAGGAATAAGAATAAAAACCAGTCACTGCCTACATCAAATTCTACTGCTCTAATAATATACATTTTTTATAGAACTCTTCCTTTTTATTGTATTGGATACATCAAGAGGCTTTTTCCAAAATAGAGTTCAACATTTAGGTAGGACAAGAATAGACTTTGTCTTTCCTTCAAGAAATGAGGGAAGAGCAAAAAGGAGCAGGACCTTTGGAAACCTCTAAAGGCAAAAAGCACAAAACTTTTACATATGCTAGTCGTGGTGGAGCACAGGGGGAGGAAGACAAGTACTTCTGAGCAAAAGGAACCTAATAAAATAACGATACCATATTTTTCCTTATAAATACATAAAAATATTAACATGGTCTTATTGGAAAATAGAACATGGAAAGCCACAAATGAAAATCTTGCTTTTCTTCTTACATGTGAACAGAATTCTCAGGTAGTTTTTCACTTCGATTCTTTAAAAAATCCTAGGAAGTAACTGGAAAGTCCAATTAGAACATTACTATTAAAGAGTTTAAAGGGATGCAGACTTCTTGCACTTTTAGCTAGGAATTTATAAGGAGTTGCTCATGTTGTTCTCACTTAGAACATAGCATCTAAGTTACTATCACATATGAAGGAAATACTTCCACCAAGAAACTTTTGAAGCCCAAGTTTTTCCACGGCTAGTTCCCTATGGGTATTATCCTATTAGATAAAGAATTATTTAAATCACTTATCTAGTAGGATTTACAAGAAAAATAACACTGAACCACTTCCGCTACTTAAGTTACTTAACACGTTTTTACCTTAATTTTAAATATTTCCAGAGATTAAAGAGTATTTCCTTGAATGGCACAGTTTTAGGTACCTGCTGTTTTTATATACAGTATATATATTTCTTTATAAATAAATGTGTAACTAGAAGATTGCACTCAGAAAATTACAATATGATGTTTCAACATGTTTGCAGCATGAAGTCTAACTGGAAGGAGTGCTCTTGTTTTCCATGCAGCAGTATATTGCAGATGCTTCCTACTTCCCATTTTCTTTTTGATTTTAAGAATGTGTTCACACAACCATTCTTCGAATTCCACACTCACAGCAAAACTTCGCCCATTCCACTGGATACCTTGTTCCACATTCATGGCAGAACTTTGATAAATGTACAGGTGAATTTCCTTCACTGCTTTTTGAACTTCCATTGACTGAGGATGTGCAGTCTCCACTGTCATACCCAATTTTACTGTCAGACCTGAAAATCCCCAGATAAAGAACATTCTATGTAACTCAGTTCAGTATAACTTGATGCAAAATTATTCTAATCCTTACAGTGAATTACTGCTACTGTTACTGTCACCTTAGACTTCCCTTTTATTTACAGTGGTATATCTTATGAGATATACAGTGGTATACCTTATACTCTACACAGTCTCCCCTACTTATCTCCAGATACTGACCTTCCCTGCAAGAAAACAAAAAAATGTGCCAAAAATCTATAACTAGTATCAAATATTTGATTTGCTAGTTAGATTAAATGGAGTGTTGGAAAACTTAAAACTTAGCTTGTCAAAACAAGAAAGGCTAAAATACAATACATCAATATGATTTTTATCTTACCCTTTTAAAAGGCAAATTTCTGTTCTTAGCATGCAATGTAATTAAATTTCAATTGAACCACTCATCATTTGATTCACTTATTTTTTAACACCTCTCCTAAGATGTTTTTGACGTTTCTAACAGTCTTGTTTGCACACCCAAGGCAGCTGATGACAAAGGTGTTCTCAGACAACAAATATACAAGATATATTCAGTATATTAAACACGCTAAATAATATTGACCATGAGTTATCTATTAACCACAGAGAACAATATTTTCTTTTGTAATAAGTACTTCCCTTTAATGAAGGTTCTATTGCTGACAAAATCCACAAAATTCAAACGTACCTTGAGTAACTGTCTGAATTGCTAGTTTTTCTTTTGTTTGTTAGAGCACCCGTGCTCATGGTTCTTGCCACACTAGGAGGGGTTGATGTCCGTGGTTTTGTTGCACCTCTAAAACAGAACAAACATCTGATGATTTACATATACACAGAAATATATACAAGAATATACATTTACAAATGATACAAAAGAAATGAGCTCAACAATCTATGCAACAATTAACTGCATGAAAAATATAACTTGTTTCCTACCAGGAGCAGACAAAAGAGCTCGGCATGAACTTGTATGGTTTGGACTGAATAAGACTTCAATCTTACAACGAGAAACAAAACAGAACAGCTCATCCCTTCTTGTTCATGTGTTTTACTTGCTTTCACACCAAAATACACGTAGATCCTGCAGTATTGGTGGTTTAGTATGTCCTAATATCCAACTTGACAAACTACAAGTCACTTTTTAGGACTGGCAGGGCTTTCAGAGAAATAGAGAGCAGTTGACCGCACATCTTAAAAGTAAAAAAAAAAAAAAATATAAAAAACCAAAAAAATGTAGAAGGAAGACCATATTCTCAATACTTTGTGATTAATATGAAATGAGTCACAAGACTTTTCTTCTCCATAGCCACAGACTTTATTTAGGATGCATACTTCTTAGATAATGGTGTTGATCCTCTTTCTTCAAAGCATAAATAATTACTTAAAATAGGAGGAAAGAAAGTCTATCCAGCTGGGCATTAGGACCTAATTTTTTTTTATAGCCTGTTCTTGAAATCAGCTTCAATAATATGACCACACTGCTATGAAAACTGCTTTCCTCAGACTCGAGGGTTTTATGAGAAGCCAGTGTGCAACAAATAGCACACTGTAAACATTCAGAATCTCTCACTACTTACTTGATGACTACTGAAACATCAGAATTCCCTGAAAAATCTGCACAGCACTAAGAAAGAGAGATTGGAAGGGGCATCCTTTTATCATCAGTAACCAAGGACAGAGTTTTTCATTACTATTCAAAAGAATTACTATTCACAGGGATTTCTTCTGCAGCAAGACTTTAATGACTGATACCTTGCACATGATCCACCAAGTTTTTCTGTTCTCATTCTTGGAACACCAATGCAGAAATGAAATTTAAGTTGGGACTGGCTCATGGACATTAAATTAAAGTAAGACTTCATTTTAAAAAATTGTCATCAAGAGCCCAGTTGGCAACAAAAATCCAGAAGTGATTTTTAATTTTTTCTTCCCTTCAGATGAATCTAACTGCTCATTTCAGAATAATAAATAACTTAGCGTTGGTTTGATTTTCGAAGTATATATAAGAAAATGCATTCAACTCCAGTAACTTCAAATGCAACATTGACACAACTGAGGAACAATGTAAGAACTCCTGAATTTTAGACATGTTGCATAAAACATTTCTTCTTCCACGTTTATGAGCATAGACTAAAGATGGCTTTTCTGCTTAAGTGGAAACACTTCAGGGGAAAAGTGATCAAATGATTCATTATGAAAGTTGAAATCAGGAACTAAATTTAAGATCAAATCAAATGATACTATATTTAACTAAAGTATTCAAGTTTAACAAGAATGGCTTCTACATGCAACAGGTAGAGTGGAACCATCAAAGATTCTGACTCACTGGGCAGAACACCAACCTCCTCCCTTAGTTTTCCTGTCTGCCCAACTTCTTCAGCAAGGAGATTCTAAAGATGGTTTTATAAAAAAATTAAAATAATAAAAATACTGTGCAGACTGAAAAGCACTACACAAATTATATCAGGATTAAACCTATTCAAAGTCATATCTTTTATCTTGGAATTCTGTAATGTCTGAAAATTCTAAATGTAACCTAAATTACACTGTTACAAGTATCTGCAACAGTATAGATGCTAAATTCTCTATTTTATGTTATTTCCCTCTTCTCATTTTACACTGAAGACCTTTGCTTTTAACTGAGAAAAATTCATTAGAGCTCAATAGGGGAAAGAACATTCTCTACCGCTACTTTGTTACGGAAGCTGGAAAAGGATATGAAGAAAAATTCAGCTGTAGACACAGAAATGGTATAGATCATCATGGATTAAGGATGATCAGACTATGATGTAAAGAACAGAATTGTGTCTCAGTTCCTGCTAAGTTATTTAAACCAACTTTTTTTTTCCACAAGTATTACTCAGTTTTCTTTGGATTTTCAACTTGGGACAAACATACTGCAATTAATAGCATTAATTTCTTAAACTGAAGTCTCTTCAGGGTGTACTTTGACTCAATCATTTTTAAACATCATACTAGGAGTCCTAGATATTTGTCAGAAATTAACATGAAAAATTAACCACTATTCTATCTTGTATTTCAACTGCTCAGTTCTCTAAAATATATGTATATACCCTCATCCCATTAGTTACTCCAAAAATTCACCTGATGTTTTAATGCTAAGTATATACTAGAGAAATTTCCCAGAAATCAGTGTCTTAAAAACACGACTGGCTAGAAACACTAGTGGCATCTAGTACAGAACAGAGGCCACTGACTGAACTAGGAGAAAAAAAAAAAAAAAGAAAATATTGAAAAGCCACATTGAAAGTGCACTGTCTACCCTGTCTGTTGAGGGAAGCAGAGTCCCACAGAGAGGTAAAACATCATTCATTAAAGGTTTAACATGACGTCTTGATTCTGAAATGTTTAAACATAGCTTTCTGCATAATTTCTGCAGACTCTTTTCCCCAAATAGTTTTCTAAGAATAAAAAAACCCAACCCAAACCTATTTTTAAACTAGAAAATTTAATATAAGTCTTATAATTAACTGCAATGTTTTCTGAGATTTTTGATGAGTAAATCAGCAGAAGTAGCAGGCTACCATGGTCTACAGCTTTATTTGTCCCAGATCTAGACACATAATGAGCATCAGGTTTCATGTATATTTGATGACAAATCTTCAAATTGCATCCTTAAGTTGCAATCTGGTCTCTAGAGACAGATGTTTTTCAAGAGAGTTGGATATTCCTGATTATCCTAACTTCTGCCACCACGGCTTGGTCTCTTCCAGTCTGTCCAACCTCTGCCACTTCTGTTTCCTTGCCTAGTTCCGTTGTGTTTTGGTGTGGTTTTTTGTTTGTTTGTTGGGTTTTTTTGGTTGGATTTTTTGTGTGTCTTGTTTTTGCAAGGTTATATAAATCCCTGTTCTAAGTTGTACCATGTGAAGTATTAATGGAGCCTGACAGCACATGAAGTTGTGTAACAATACCACCTTGAATTCTTAAAATCTGGACATACCTTTAAAGATGCTTATTATCCATTCTGAATTTCAAAAGAAGTAAGAATGAAGGTGATGTTGTACACCTAGTTGAATTACCACTGCTTGCAAAATGAAAATCTTTTTCTATTTGTGTATTTGCAATTTGGTTGGATTTTGCAATAAAATACTGAAGTATCAAGCTTGCTTCTTAGACAGGGTGTTTTCACATATTCTTGACAGTTATCACCGTCACCCACAACAGCTCATAGTTCTGTGTAAAATCATAAATAATTTCCTTATGACTAATGGCAGCAGCCAAAGCCCAGAAACCTTTGCCATAAACTGTGACCATCCACGTTGCTATACTGATTTCAACAACAGTTAGTAGCTATTCACATTTGTCAAATGCCGTTGGCACATAACATACTGAATAATCTCCTGCAAAGAAGGCAGATTTAATTCATAAGCTCAGTGGACATTCAAATAAGAACAGTGAAGTTACAAAGAGCAGAGTAAGTGCCTGTAGTCTCACAGAAGTTCTCTCAAGAAGAAAAATCGAATCACTGTGCTATGGATACGGGCTATCGTAAGCACTTTTAGTTGCTCAGACATTTTTTTCATCATCTTATCTTATAAAATGAAAAACTGATCTAATTTTTGATTGCTCACAGGACTTAAGAGCTCTAACCAAACATGCAAAGCAACCAAAAAAAAAAAAAAAATCATCCCAAACCAAACAAAAACCCTGTTAGTCTAAAATACCACCCTCCTTCATGCCTTTTGCTTCTTCAAATAGAAAACTAAGCTCAAATAACCTGGCCCTGTCTCAAAGATACTTCAGCTCCAGTTACTACAGTAAGAGATTTAGACACATTTCTACTATTTAAAGCACTACATTCCATGTATACGTCACATAATTTCTTACTAATTTCTCTTTTGCAATATGCTTTAAGGTATTGCTCATGAAGAATCAACCCAATTGAATTTGGCATGTCCCAGATTTAATCAAAGGGTTTGCTACTATATAGTATCTATTTCCTTTTTAAAAGACCGGCATACCCCTTCTTCCAAACTTATATCTTACAACTAGCTGAATATTCAAAAGTCTTTATATGAGATAAGTTGGACTTACTAAAATACTGTATATCTTATTACAAAGTCTGCCCTGTTTAAACTCTTGGACCACCACAGCTATTTTACAGAAGTAGGAGACAGGTAAGTATTTGGCTTTTGGAGAATAAAATTACTTTGTCATAAAATATCTGCCTGTAAGGCACTTGTATAGTTATCACGCTTAAATGCTTACTTTAGCTTTACATTATACAAATTCAGTTTTATCTCAGGTTTACAGAGGTAGAAGTTCATTACTCTTAGTTCATAATCAGTGACAAAAGAAGTCAAATCTTATAAAAGCCTTAATCTTTCCTGTTCTACTGTGAAGCTGTTTACTTAACATGAAACAGATGTTTATACTAATTATATTATATACTCTTCTCCCACAGCATTACATGGCAGACATCCTGGGTGACAGATATCTGCCAAGATCATACTTTTACTATTCCAATGCTTTACAGGAAGATTTCTGCAAAACAGATAAACCACATTGATTTGTAATACTTACTTCTTTATAGGCAACAACTCATTTGGTCTTTTGATGGTACTGTCTGTTTTTGTATCAGTGTCATAAAACCTTTGCACATCTCTTCCAGTTCGCAGTGGTAGGCCTAACTTGTCCATCTTACTACTAGAATATATAAAGGGGTACTCATAAGGAGATTGCTAGATTGCTATTCAAGTTATTGCAAAACAATTTAAAGTACTCACAATTAAATACTTACATTCCCAAAGAATCCTCATTGACTAAAATAATGTA